GCCAAACATTCGTACTTGATATCTTTATGAAAACATTTTTCAAAGAGTGTACGTCTCCAATATGTTTGCCGAAGGCATGCAAAAGATATTTTAGTTAACTAGAAACTGCAATTCCTCGACTCTAATGACATCAATAGACTCGCCTTGCAAGTTATACCTTTATGGTCATGCGTAGGCGTTGAGGAACAAGTTCCAACGCGACTCGAATAAATTACGTAATCCAACGGAACTATGTACCGAAATATGCCATGCTAGCATGTTCAGCGTACAGGCCACGTGATATTTTTTCGTTACAAAGTGAACGTGAACTTATTTTTATCTCAGGGTATCGTGCCGGGCATGAAACTGCAAGTTGCCTACTTCAAACGGAGCTACCGTAATCGAACCTCAAGATGTTTCCGTTGTAAAGCATGACTGAGATTATTTATATTTAGAACAGATTCAATTGTTTGAGCCATCACTACTCACTAATGCTAGATTAAAGTTCGGAAAGCACCCTTCGGATGCAACAATATAGCATTTTATAAAAGAATGCACAGAGCAGTGATCATAAAGACCAAAATAATATTGCTATAAATCCATAAAAAAAGCCTAAAATAACAAATCAACTTCAGAGATTTGGAGAAAATATTTCTTTTGGAGGCTAATCTATGGTGATAGATGTCGATGAGGGTTTGTTGGCATAAGTTATGATTTAGATCTTGGATGACGACGTCTGAGAAACACGAATCCATACTTCACATTTCGATGTCCCCGATTGCAGCTTGTTACAATCAGAAACACCACTCCAGACAAATCACACATCTAACCTCAAATTTTCCTTTTTCTGTATGAGTCATCGTTCTTTTAAGAAACTGTAACTAGACGCCATTCTTTTACTTGTTCGTTAGGATAAGATGTTCAAATGTCCTTTGCTAACGAGCCTACTAGAGAAGGCCGGAAGATGAGGAACTTGATCACACAAAAGTCCTTGTTACATAGCAAAGTCGTTGTTTTAGTGGATTGTTCTTGACCCTTACCCTTGTTTTGTTACTTTTCTATAGAGCTCGTTTATTTAACCTTGACTGTGAACGTGTGCAGACAATGTCTAACACAGAAATCATTGTTTAAATTCGAGCGTTTTATTTGTACGTTAAGGTGTTTCAGTTTCTTGTACACGCGGGGACTGCAAAGGTCACGAAATTAAGTCCTGCCTCAATTCACGCTCGCACACAAGCTGAAAGCGCGTAACAAACGTTCTTACTATTTAGGAATAATTACTCATAAGCTAGTTAAAAATTGATCTAACTTCACAACAAAATTATTTGTTTACCAATGTGGATACAACTTTTGAATTCTGCGGCATTTTTTATTTATTTTTGAGACTGCTCAGTTTAACGCCGGAAAAAATTACCCAGCAAATTCGTTATATCTTTGCTTGCGAAGAAACGTAGAACATTTAGAAGAAACAGGAAATGATACAAATTTAGAACGTTGTCATAATCGAATCACACTTGTTGAATCGTCTTATTAAATGGCTTCAAATTCAGCTCTGACGTTAATGAAAATGTTGCCAGCTGTTCTTCGCTATTTCTAGATATTCGAAAACACTGGTTATTTTCATTTTGTTTAACTGTAACCGTTTTTCGTATACCAAAATGAAATAAAAGACTTCCTACGCCTGAAAAAAGCACGGAACTTCGGCTAAAAATAATTCTGAGGTGGTATCGTCAAAACAGCATCAACGACACAATATGTGCACGTCATTTTCTTACGTGATAAAATGTTATTGCTTCGTGATTCGACGGTGGCACCGTGATCTGTGAATACACAGTGTCAACAGTATCCCATAGAGTTTGCCAAAATAAACTTAGTCATGTACATATTTTGAGGCTTACGTTTTAATCCCCATCCTCGTGAGCATACGCGTGAATAATAATCTGGCCATAGGTAAAATCCAAGTACTTCGGTTATTAGGGGCCAAACATAAGTTATGTAACAACCCATATCTAAACAAACCTAGGGACGAGAAGCTCGGTTCCCACGAAGGCTAACACGCTATCGACATTACTGATCCTAGCAGAGGGGGGGCATTGGGGCCTATTAGGAACTGCAAAACCGTAGAAAAAATCATCCAAAACCGAAAAACCGAAAAAAATTCCATCAAAACCGAAAACCGCATGCAAAACTGTCACAATTGATACATTTTCACATCCTAGTTATTAAAACCCTGATCGATCCGATACAGTGGTGACAGGTGGAGCATACAGGGTAGACTACACTAATTTTATTACAGGATTTATGAATACCATGAACTTGACATTCGTATCTTCTAGTATCTGCTTAAATTAACAGCTGCGCTCTCGAGGACCTCGAGCGTGGTCTCCGCGGACTCAGCAGCCGGCAATGGAGCCTAATTAAATTGAGGAAATTCGCACAAACGTCCTCGATAGGATTGCAATTTTATAGTCGCAAAAAGCTAAAGCTCTAGTAAGTTTCATCAAAAATCCCGAATCTAACATTTCCATTTGCGAACTAAGACCTGAAAAATTTGAGATTCTATTGGAATGTTGAATCAATCAGTCATGTGTGGCCTGTAACTTGGTCACCAACTTCGAGGTGGGGTTGATAAAGAAACTCTGGCAATGATCCGTGCTTAGCCGTACCTCAAGTGTAGCCATACCCTCCCCTCCCCTCCCCCCCCACGTTAGGGAAGGGGGAGGATACGGTTACACGTAGGCTACCCAGGGATCCCTGCGATATATCAATTGGTTTGTCACGCATTCCCCTCCATAAAATTCAAGGTCAGTGGAGGTTTAATTCACCTTTTGGGCTTTAGATTTCACGTGTAGTGTCACGTAACTCTTGATGTAAACAAACCCCGAAAGTTCGGACATTGCGTCGAGGTGGGGTAACCCTGTCAGCCGGGGTGACAATTTGTCATGTAAACGTCTCAAGGTGGAGTAACCCGCCTAGCCGGGGTCGCGTTCATAGCAAAAAGCTCAAAAGCTAAACACGTATGTTTTAAAACTTTGTACATTTCCTAGCCGTCTCATGGCAGAAATCACCAGAAACCGCAACGGACACACAAGGAGTGTAAAATGTTCACATTTCGGAATATTTAGCGTTGTAAATCGACCATATTTCGTTTCCCAAACCATTCCTTATAACGTATTAACTCCACGATTCCTTGCGTAACCTAATACCGCGTAACACAACGCGTGACGCTTTCATGAATAAATACATACATGTCCGAGAATTAATCGTTCGTCTTTCTCGAGATGTGAGCTTGAGACGCCTGCGCTCAAACTCCCTAATTGCAAGCGCAACATCAACCTTAAGAAACCTCACTCCAGCACCCCGGGGTTGTAAGATTGCATGTAAACGCGTTTTATTTTTCTACCACGGCTAGGCGGGTTACCTCACCTCCAGGCCCTCAATGTCCAAACTTTCGGGGTTTGTTTACATCGAAAGTCACGTGACACTACGCGTGACATCTGTAGCTCAAAATGTGAATTGGAACGACCGGAAACCGCATCGGATATCAAATCCGAAAACCCGTTAGTGTTTTTCGCGAAAACTGAAAACCAAATGCTAAAAAAAAAAACGGAAAATCCGCAAACCGCAAGGACACCAAAACCGAAAAATCGAGGTTTTTGAACAAAAAACCGATAAAAAAAATAGCCAAAACCGCAAACCCGAAAATCCCAATGCCCCCTTAAGCAGTTTGCAGGATGCGTATCATCTGGACTTCGAAATAGACCTCGCTCACCGTGGAGTCTCTGTGGCATTAGAGCGCAGAACCCGAAGGTCTGAGGTTCGATTTCTCATGAGGACTCAAAATTTTTTCTTTGTCCCACGCTTGTGACAAGAAGAAAAACATATTTCTCTCTACTACCTCTTATTGTTCTAATTGCAAGAGAAGAATAAGAGCTTTCTTTTTGGAGTACAAGTTACATAACTGGAGGATAAACTCTGAAATTTTGTAATAGATTGTAGCTCACTTTGAGCATGAGGAGCCCTTAAAATTTTTTTCAGTGTACCGTTACAATCGACTGAAAAACATCACCTTTTGCTTTCACCCAGTTAAAATGCTGTACTATTTCAACTCATTTCCAAATATCTTAGAAAATTCTACCTCTCGCTACATTTTTCGAAGAGTTACGGCTGCCGGGTATCCCCCTTATTCACAGCGCACTTATTCCGTACTCCCTGACAACCATTTATTAATGTATTTATCCACTCACCTCTCACGGGAGGGCTTCAAAGCTGAAGAAAAAGAATATCAACACAAGGTGACCGCATCGGCCAGCAAATGCAACGTAACATATGTTGTTTCTAGAACTCTTAACAACCTGTAGCACCTGACTTCATACTTGAAACTTCCATCTGAGTAGATGTTTACATAATAATAACGGGAAGTCATATTTAGTTTATGATCAAGTCGTCATTTATTTGCGCTTTCTGTACGTGGTTCCATTAAGGTCACAGCCTTTAAAAAGATCACTGTTGCTGTGTTTTTGGCAACTTAAAGCTCAAACGGCCACTCGATCTGTTACGGGCGGATACAGTTATCCTGTAACTACCAATCAAACCCTGTGTCAAGTCTGTTGCGCTGTTTCAAGTCGCTTTTGCGGCACGAAAATCACCCTGAAACATAAGTAAGGTGTGAACAATGAAAAGAAACCTCAAAAGTAATATTTTGCTTGGGATGAAAAACAAAAGACTAAAAAGTTATCCGAAAAATTGAGAATAAAGATTTTTGAGGATGGAAAATTGGAAGAGTTTGGTCAAAATGGTCGCCAACCATTCGTACAATGGCATCGAGGATTCACAAGACATGTTTATCTCGAACCCAAAATAGAAATAAACAGACAGGGCTTTTTAAAGTGGTGAAGGCTGTAAGTTTGTCTTATGGCATTTATTTGAAAAAGCCGAGTTCAGAAAAAAATCAAAACACATTTTTGCATCAAGTTAGTATTCAATTGTCTACAACCACAAGATTGAAAACAACAACAACCTTGGCATCATTGGTTTTAATTCCCATTTATATATGTACAGTTTTGATACATTTATCTGGCTGTAATTTGGCTGTTTCTTAACTAACTCAGCCTTCCCTTTTCTTTTAGCACCTATTTTCTACAAGATATAATTTCAAAATATACTGAGCCCTTGTTTAGAACTGTAGGAAACTAAACCAAGCTAAATCAGAGATCTCATAAATCTGAGTTTTGAATACATACAGCTTAGAAAAACAGAAAATGCAAACACATGCAAAGTTCAGCAAATTTGTCCACAAAGCCACTTTGGTTAGGAGCTACAACAGGTGCTTATGCCCCAAGTACTTCACGTGTATCTAATCTTTTAGCTTGTTAGCAAAAGTTGGAGGTTTGTTTTGTATGAGTTCTCACCATAATTTAGTAAATTTTGATACCTACAACAACACAACCCGGCCCTGTAACCCCACCCCTAAAAGTGAATTGGCACATTCCAACTGTATGACATAAGTTCAAACACTGCCCTCTATCCTTTAGGTAAGTGCAGCAGTGAATTTCCTCAAGCACCAGTGTACAGAGAGAAAAAGTAAATATAGAGGAGCAGAATGGGATACATAAGTAACAGTCTTTTGTTCTTTAGTTCATCCTGGATGAGAAGAGATCCTGCACTGTATGATGCCCAGACAACCCCAAACAACTGAAAGGGAAAGACATGAAATTTTTTCATGATCCAGAAGGCACCTTATACAACACACGTTGATGAGGAGTTCCTGCAGATATATCAAGGCCTATAAAAATGTACCACTCTTTGCCTTTTTTCAGATTCTAAGAAGTAGCATAGCCTTTTTAAAATATTGTCTTCCAATGCACTATTTGCAGTATTTTGAAATATGTTTCACCTTTACATTATCTGGAAAATCACCATAGGAGATCTGCTGGCAAAAGAACTGTTTGATAATTAAATTTGCAGACATATTTCAATACTAGGCCTGAAAAAATCAGCAAGTACTTTTTCGAATTTCTTGCAGATCTTGGTGATTGATTCCAATCCACTTTCACAAATATTCCATATGGAAGAGAAAATTTTCCTTCTGTTTAATGGTAACATCCTACATACAAATTTTAACTGGACTAGAAGTATAAATACCTTGATAGCAGTGCTAATGTTGGGAAAGTAATGAACCAATGGCAGGGCTGTTGCAGTCAACACCAGAGGGATAAGTGAGTAACCAATCACACCAAGACACTGAGAGTAGTTCACCTTCAAAGAAATGAAATTTGCTTGCTTTCATTTCTTGCACAATTTTGTTTCCACAGAATATGCTTAAAATAAGATCCTCCTCATCCACAATTGACACCTCTAATTTTACATCCTAATCCCTGCATGTGTATGAGAGTGTGAAAGTGTGTGAGTTGCATATGACATCCAAGTTCTGCTTGAGTATGTGTTTATTAATGAGAGGTTTCCACACACAGTAACCATTAATAAAGTGTGTGGCATTGAAAGTCAAAAAATTTGCTCTCACTGGCAGGCAAGGGGCACTACTACATGATCAATCAACTGTGGTCTTTTGCAGTAATTACAGATTTGTGCATGTTACACTTCTAACCTCTCCGCCAAGTACTCTGGCTAACAAGAAGATAATGAGAGAGCCCAGCAGCCATATTGTTATAATCCAAGAGACAACCTGGCACAAACAACACCCAATTGTAAGATTAATGAAGCATTCCAAGGAAGAGAGGTAACCTGACTCAGTACTGTAGTAACTAGTTTTAACAAGACCAAGTTTCTCTTTATCTGACACCTTTACAAACTACACTGCATTGAATTAGCAAACAGCTTATACCATGGAGAGATTTTCCTTTAGCCCTTTACACTCTAACATTATTATACATATTCTCCTTACTGTTCTCTATATATTTCCTAATGAGCTAACAAGGAGAATTTGTGCAACAATCAAGAGCTTCTTCAGTTGGTGATCATTTCCTTAATTCTTATGACTTTTATGTTTAATTCAAGGGTGATACTATTGGAAAAAAGATGCTTATCACTCTTAGTGATAAGGGAGTAGATTCATGGGAACTTCAAATGCATTTGATTTTCCTGTTTCAAATATCATAATTAACTAAGGGATTGAACAAACTGCAGACACCATCATGTGACTTGAGAACTGACCTTAAACTGTCCAAATAATGCCAGCATTGCATACAAAAGAACCACCAAAAGAGGACCCCAGAAATCAGGACTGTCCCTCAATACATCCCTTTTAAACCCCAAGGATGGAAGAGGAAACACCACGCAGCGAACTTTGTAGTAGATATCTTGCAGATCAATGTCCAGTTCTTCACTACAAAAGTAGTGAAAAATAATGATTTTAATGATCTTGTTTTGAAATAAGTCTTGAATCTCTTTATGAGACAAAGAAAAATAATGAAATTCAAGAAGGTTTACATTTCTAATATCATTTCATATCAGTTGATACTGACTGTAATCAGAAAAAGATTAATGTAAAAGATAGAAATCTGTCAATCATAAAATTCCAACCTAACTTCTGCCTGCTCAGACGCAAAGAAAAAATGAAAAATCAGTTCTTACAAGGAGGGGTTACAATAACTCCCATACTTCTCCTATGAAATTTTGCCCTCTTGTTCCCAAACAAACAATCCATAGATTCTAGTCACCATGAAATACCATCTTCACTTGTACACAAGGCTAACTCTCTGTTCACTCTCATAGTACACCAGGAAGATCAAAAGAAAAAATCAAACATCTTTCAATTTGTGGAAGAGTTACTCTTCAGCCACCCCAAAATCAGTGATGAAATTTCTTTTTCATATATAACCTCCGTAAGAATAAAAAACGAGCAATATTCAAATATAAATTATGCGCATGAGTTTCTATAATAGTAAATTTTACACGCATAAATAAAATTGTGTAAGGAACGAACTGAAAATCCACGAAGTCAAATATACGCCTTGCTTTCAATTAAAATTAAATTTGGGTTCTGTTCAAATTCGATTCTACATAACAAACACAAACGAAGCGACAAAGCCACGCATTATTGATATACTACAAATTCACTTACAGCAAGGGCTTGTTGAAATCATCATCATCACCCGATTGATCCACTTCCAATAACCAATCGTAGTTTTTCTTATTGAAAATTTGCGAATAGAAAGGGAATCTGTACCGAGGGCCTCCATTCGATTCGTCAACTTTTCTACCACTTTCCATGAATTCTTCCTGTTGCTCAATCGATCCTGAGTACATGGAGGCATCTTGACTCATAGGAGGACCGAATGAAAACTCATTTATTTGGTTATCAGCCTCCATATTTTCCAAATCAGGTTGTGAAGAGGGCGAAAAAAGAGGAACTGATGTGGCCGCCATTTTGCTTCTGCGTTGATTGATAGAGTTTATCGTCACCAGTTCCCATAAAAAGTTTGACAGCGAGAAGTCTGGATCTGTCGCGTGGCGCCAAATTTTGTAAAAGAGTTCGGCCTTCCGTAGAGAAGTTTCGTCTTTTCCTTACCAGATGTAGCACTAAAACAAACGAAAACTTCATCGGAACTGCCAAAAATATGTTAGGAAGGTTAGTAGTTTGCTTGTTAATGTTGCTTCTTTGATTACAGAGAGGGATTTGATCTTGTCTTGTTCGTTGTGTAATGGCGACGTCCATTACAAATTTGGTCCTGTTTAGACGTAGTTTTCTCGCCTTATGCTCATCGAAAGGTGAGCTCTGAAGTGTTCTGTTCTGAAGATTCTGAACGGTTTAGTTAATTTTCCACAGGCCACAATTTTAGTTTGCTCTGGGTATGCCGCCATTGGGGTAAGAATGTGAATACTGGACGGGATTGTAAGAGTCTTAACACATCCCAAAGGAGGGCAGATCATTGTTGGTGCCAACGACCTGCAGAAATGGGAATCCAAGGCCTTCTTCCATTACTAAAGCCTATCCAAAAGCCCGTCTCCATCGCTGAGCATTTCGCAGGTCAAGTCATTGGGATAGATGCCTACTGCTGGCTGCACAAGGGAGCTTATGGCTGCGCTATGGAATTGGTTGAAGGAAAGAAAAGCTCCGTGTATGTATGCACTTTTAAATGATGAGCGGAGAATACCTGGAAGCTCGATGTTATCGCATTATGCATCAAAATATTTAAGTTTTTGCACAGTCATATATTACTGAGGTAAATATATTTTGTTTCAGGTATGTTAATTACGTTTTGAAGCGTGTTGACATGCTGCTACATTTCAATGTCAAACCAATTCTGGTTTTTGATGGATCATACCTTCCCTCCAAAGCTGGACAGGAGGAACGACGAAGGAAGTAAGTGTCTATTTAAAGGAATTTTAAGACGGAAAAGTTCGCTTGGGAGTTCAGACAGGATTCAGAGGGGGCAGTTGTAAATATGAACTAATCTGCTTGAAATAGGGACTGTTAAGAGAGCTATTGAATGTATTTCCAATTCTTGTCAAATGTAGGACAAGACAAGAAAACAAGGCGAAAGGACTGGCTTTTCTACGGGCTGGAAACAGGCAGCAGGCTCTAGACTGCTTTCAGAAGTGCGTGGATATTACTCCAGATATGGCCCTTGAAGTCATAAAGGTTTGTATTTGATGTGAAATGCTAGAGACTACCATGATAATTTCCTGTTTTGTGAATTTTCCATCTTCAAATAATACTGTTACTTCCAAATGTTGGATTTTCAAGTTGAAAAATTATCGACAAGTTCTTTATAACTCGTGGGTGGAGAATCAGTGTGTGTGACAAGTGTGGGAACCTTCAATAACAAGCAAATAATATCTATCTGTATATATTTTTTCTATACATCTGTAATGAGGTTCTGATTTTTTGTGCAGCAAAGATGTGAAATATATTAAAAAGTGCTTTATAACGTATCCAAAGTCAGGATAAAAATAATTTTATCCCCCATTTTCTGGTAGTCTGATTTTACAGGTGAGATCACAATTGTCCTTGTCAGAATGGAAAAATTAGCTGTTCCATCTGGACTGCCCAAGTTTCCTACCCTGACCTCATAGTTCACCCAAATGCACTTTCTAATGCGGCAAATGAAACTTACTATACAGGAATGTCGTAAGAAGGGCGTGGACTGTATTGTGGCACCTTATGAGGCAGATGCTCAATTAGCATATCTGATGAAATCAGGTCTAGCTCAGGCTATTATATCTGAAGATTCTGATTTACTTGTCTATGGATGCCAGAAGGTAAGGGTGCTAGTTTAAATGAGTAATGACGGTTACTGCCATGGCTTAAGTTTGATATGTGTCAATGCAAGGGCCAACAGTTCAAGGCTTACTAGAGCCTGTGAGCTCTACTTCTGCCATTTTCTTAGGTCCAGTCTCTGATCCCAAATTATTGATCATGAACTTCTTTAAGGTAGTTCTTCTTTAGGGTAGATGAACCCCTTTTTTGTTCATACTTTCCAAAAGACAGCCATTTTGAAATTTACAAAGTCTACGTGCCAGTCCTATCTTTGAGAAGTGCAGGCTGGTACCAAACCTAGTAAACCTGCTGTGTGAGATGAAAAACAAAAACAGAAGCAAAAACAAACAAACAAACAAAAAAATGGCAAACATAGTTTTGAACACTAAATTTTTATAGGAACTTCTTTTGAACCACTTTACTTCATATTCCCGCTGAATTTCAGGTCATCTTCAAGATGGATGTTAATGGTCATGGCTTAGCAGTGGATCTGGCTGATCTTTCCAAACTAACAAAGCTCAAACTACATGAATTCACCCAAGAGAAGTTCAGACACATGTGCATTCTGTCAGGTTGTGATTATCTGCCATCTGTCAAGGGCATTGGTCTACAGACAGCAATTAAACTGCTGTGCAAATCATCCAATGTTGAAAAGGTTAGTTTTTATCACTAAGTTAATCAGTTTCTAAATATCTCCTTGATGAACCATATTTAATTGATTAAGCACCCTGTACTCTTATGATTTTAAATTAATGGACCTTAAAGCAAGTGCTTATTTAAAGTGTGGTGCTTATTCAAGGCTAGACACTTAATAAATTTTCACCATTTTCAGCATTGTGTTGCAACAAAATGATAAATGACATATCAAAAGGTGAAGATATACCATAGACAGTGAATTTAGAGCCAGTAAAAAAATGATAGTCAGTACTCCTTTTGTGAACTACAGATTTTTTTTTTGTGTGGAGGGGGGGTGGGCACTTATTTGAGGCAGGGTGTTTATTAACTTTTTCTACCTGCAGGACGGGTGCCTATTCCAGGTAAAGCTCTTAATAGAATGGATATGGTTATTTGCTCTGAAACTGATTTCTTCCTTAAAAATAAATGAATAACTTTCTGTTAGCTGATCAGATCTCTCAGAACTGAAACAAAGATGCATGTCCCTGATGATTATGAGAAGAACTTCAAGCAGGCAGAGGAGACATTTTTGTACCAGCTTGTTTTTGATCCTGTTTCTATGAATCTGGTTCCTTTGAGTGACCTGCCAGACGGATTGAAACCTGGTGACCTGGGCTTTGCTGGTCCGTATCCTTGACAAACTGCTGTAACAAATGCAATACTGACCAAGTTTAAGGTCAAGTTAATATGAAATTGGCCATTTTTCCAGTTGTATTTTTCTTCCCTTTTCTTTTCTATTTATTTTTCTTGTCCTTTTCTTGCCCAAGACTAAGTTGAGATCAATCAACTTTTTTTCTGTAAAAAGAACAAGGCCACAACTCTACCAACTTGGCAAAACAGACTCCATCAATGGAGCATGAAAATAAATGAAATGATCTACTTGTCAGCACCTGAGGAAATATATGAAGAACAACAGTATTGAGAATATGCACTACTTTTCCTGTAGACTTCATCATTTCCCTTGTGTTCTCTTGACCAATTGTCAGACTAATGACAAGAGAAAAAGCCTTGGGTATTGCACTTGGTAATATTAACCCCATCACAGGTGAAATGATAGCAGATTTTGACCCCAAAAAGATCAAGGTACGCTACAGAACACGTTTTCGGGATATTTTACTTAATGTCTTATACTTTTGACCTACTATGAAAAGGTTCAGCAGTCATGCAGATATTTGATACAAAGTTACAAAGGTTAAGATACTGTTTTGATGATCATGATGGATGTGAGGACGAAAACAAATTTTAAAGAACTTTAAGAATTTTTGCGTCAAGCATATGTGATTACTTGTAACAACTCCATATATACAATATTTTTAATGCCAAAAGTTTCTGTTTAATTACTTGAGTGATGTTAAGGGCAATGCCACTGAAAAGAAAAGGCACTCTTGTAATAACCAGTTAGTCGCAAACACTGGAAAAGTAGACCATCTGAATGCTTCTACTTAACTTCCCTGGTGGATACTTTTTCAACTGGTGTTAATTTTCGTCTTGAAACAACGCTGCGAAACGTTAGTTGTTTCACCTTTAACTTTCTTAGAACTTTTTCCTTTTTCTTTTGCTTTGAAGACTGAATAACGTACCTATAATTCCGTAAAAATAAACGTAGTAGCCAATTTTTGTAACAACAGCTTAGTTCCTAAAAGGTAACATTAGCATAGCAAGAAGCTGTCTTGTAGCTTAAAACTGAATAATCCTCGGACAACCCACCGCTAGCCAATAAGCGTATGCCAAAACCGCCATTGACCGGTGTGGTTTGCTATCATTAGGCTACAAGCTTGTACTATTGTAAGTGCTATTTCTGTTAACATCCTCAGTTGTTTTTCCCCTAGATTATTGACCTGGGATCTGGTAACAAATTGGACGAAGACTCTCAATCACGTGCTCTCACCCCAGTCTCTATGTCCTCCTTTGGCCATGCCGTCATAAGTAAGAGAGGGAAGACTGAATACGATGTGCAAAAAAACCTCTCTGGGTTGATGCTCAATTCAACGTCATCGGCGAAAACCAAGAAACCTTTCGTGCCGCCAGGACTTAAACGGAAGATTGAAGAAGAAAGTGTTGATGACCACTCACTTCTCAATATGTACACTGTTTTGAAACCCAAGAATGTCATTCCTCGTGCTCAGGGAAATTTCCAACGCACGAAACCTGGTGCTTTGTCATGGAACGGGACGAAAAAGTCCAAGTTCAAAAACCCTTTTAAAATCAGCGATCAGCGGGTTGAGGCGCAAGATGAAGTTAAAATTAGCAGGTGTGCATATACACTGATGAACTCTGTGAAATGATCATGTTCACTGCTCTGTCACTGTTAGCTTAAAAAAGAGGGACTGCTCGTAGACTATGCCACTGTTGCAATACCTATTTACTCTCTCTGAATAATTAAGATTTACTGACGTATACGTCTTTTTCTTGAGGTACTTCAATATCACTGGAAATCAGCTGGAATCACTGAAGTATTCAGCAAACGCAACAGAGGGCAGTCCAGCTGGTGGAACAAATTTGGATTCCGAAAACACTGATGAGTTATCCTTGACAGGTGAATCACGGCCTGGAGGTAGTGTTACTGCCTTGATACAGAACGTGGATGAACACTTATTTCAGTGTGAAGGAGAAAATTCTGTGGTGATTAATAAAATGGAACAGAACAAGGAGAATTATTCAAAAAGGGAGGACGATTCTTCTTCTAAACTGTGCAAAATTGAATATTACAAAACTGAAAGCAGGGAGGAAACTACTCTTCACAACAGCGACTATTCGCAAACCCGTTCTCCTAAAAAGCTGTTATGCCAGGGCGTGTTAACGAACCAGTCATTAAATATAAGCTACGACCACAAAGATGAATCCCTAGAAACAAAATTAAGTGAACGTTTTAGCTACAAACGATTTCAAAGGCCAACAAAACTTATTGATAACACAACAGAGCCCTTATCGAGGGAGGAAACTGTGTCTAATGACAGTAGCTTTTCACGATCAGTTGAGGTGATACGTATCGACAGTGGGTACATGTCAGATACGGAGATGAGTACAGATGGTGACACACCCACCTCTACTCAGTCAGTTATCAGGGGCCAAACTACACCCTCCACGAGCAGAAATTTTTCGCTTTTACAAGGCAGTGCTGTTGGATCCAAGGTAAGATTAGAGAGTGTACTGCACCAATCCTGTCAATGTCACACTAGCAGACATGTTTCAGAAGTTTACTATTTTGATCATTTGCGACGACCTGGTTTTTTTTACTCATAGTAATGAGAATCCGATGTTCGATCAACCCCCTTGCTTGTTTTGTTTTATTTTGTTTTGTTTTTTTTATTAATGGCGCGATTGAGTTTTTGAGTTCAATTTTTCTTATGATTGGCTGAGAGGGAGGCGCGATTTTTTTTTTACCAGGCACAGAGTGAGTAGAGTAAGGTCAAATTTTTTTGTGCTTGGCTAAGCAGGAGGCACGGAATTTTTTGACCAATCACAGCGCGACGAAGAAAGATCAGTACAATCACGGATCTTTTTTTCCAAAACAGAAATTGCTCTAAATGGCGAAATTGCTCCAATGTAAAATATATTTTTCTCTCTTTATTTTTGCAACAGACAACGAAGAAGCAGATTCGGCTGAATTCTAAAGCAGGTAATACCATTTTAGTTCCAGTTCAATTTACTTCGATTATCAGTTGGGTGAGGCGTGGAAAAAGCTGGTGACTGTGTTTTGACCATAGTATAACGTTGTTGTCATGGGCAACCTTCCTCTTTTCTGATGGTAAACGTCAGGAGCCGTGCGTCACCATCCGTCAAACGCGGAAGCCCGCCAAAAGAGGTCAAACGACACGTTTCCACCGGAAACGGAGCCACGTGTTCGTGTCAAAAACACGATTTTAACTTCAAAATGAGGTCGCCAAGTTACCGTAGCGTCTTACTTGACTGAAAATCGTTGTATATCGCGTTATATCACCCGCTCGTTAGAAAAATGGTGTAACGCTCTTTAGACACTCGTAGACAATTTTTGGACTTTGTGGATACGACAAATAATTATTATTTACTCGTTGAACTCCGAAACTGAGGCCCGCATTCGATTCCAGGCTGGGTGTCTATCCTGGTCTCTTTGGCAACACAATTTACCATCACAGTCTCTCAAGACACGGGAATATAAATTGATCAGAAAACTGTCAGGGAGACACGACAAAGTGCCAGGGGTTTACTTACTGTGAATCCAACATCCCTTGTGGGGGACATCGTTGTGTTACGTCTGATGCTACATAAGCCGGGATATGTTCTATTGACTATTGGCCACTTTGGTGGCATATTTTTTACCTTTGGGAGTTTTCTTGATGGTGATCTCACGATGTGGTGTCCCCGACAGCATACAAACATTTTTAAAAAGCATTTTACATGTATTTCTTTGTTTGATTCCATTAGCCTACCTAATAGGCTCTTTACAGCGAACGATTATATGATACAAAGACACTTTACCGATAAGCAAATCATATACTGCGACGTCCAAAGCAAACTATATTTCAATTTAGTTGCTTTGTTTTGAATGTCGAAAAGGAAAGTTGGCTCTCTAGTCACTGTCTTTTTTCTTTCTTTTTTCTAAAGATCACCAGCTGTAAAGGGCTCAGTGTATTGAAGAATAGCGGTTCTTTTTCATATTCCTTCTTTTAGGTCTTAGAAGTACTGGACTCGGCAGATGCCGCTCAATAGGAATTTCAAAAAAGAAAACGAAACTCAAAGATTCGCCGGACTCTGCTGGATCGTCGTCTTTGTTGAGTTATTTTGAGTTCGACAGGCGGAAGAAACCAAGGTAGTGTTCGGTAATTTTATCGTGGATACCTATTGAAGGGCGGTCTTTATTTAAAATTCATCAGGCTTTTAGAAAATATCAACAAGAAATGTTTACAGTGGAACTGACGTGTTAAAAGTTTCATTAAAAATTTTCTTTCCTTGGGAAAAAATATACTGTTGCTGTAGGTTGACTTTTCTCGAAAGTTCCCGCCCCGAGTCCATTTTGTTCCTAGAATACGCGCCCCATTTCCAGGTGCGACTCTCCATATTATTCGTGCTTTCGGATGCGGCAATTTAACCCTTTGACCCCTAAGGGTGATTGGCATCCTATTCTTTTTACGGTATCACTGTTGAATCAAACATAAAGGTTATGAGAATAAGGGAAATGATCACCCATTATATAGAGAAGCTCTTAATTGTGAAACAAATTCTCCATGTCAGTACCATATAGAGAACAGCATTGAGAATATGCATACTGATCTTTGAGTGTAAAGGGTTGATACGATAATGACGTAGAAATCTGTCAAAAAGAAATCTCCGACTTTATCTTGTTATTCGTGTGCTTAATCTTCATTATTCTTCGTGGAAATTCGGCAAAGAATCTCTTCATACCATTTTCCCTGTTTAAATCAACTCCTTTTTCTTTCTCCAGACTCAGTGATGACAGCTGACATGTGTGTTTCTCGAGCGTGATGTAGTTATAACCAAATTCATGCATGGTTTTCCTGGCAGAGGGCTTCATAGCAATCAAAGATGATGTGGAATGCTGTTGTAGAACCTTATGAAGAGAAATGTGGGAAACTCGTGGTTAATGTCTGTCTCTAAACTACGAACACTGACCTGACAAATTCATTCCTTGAAATGCTTTCATGATACATTTTAAGGATCATTCACCAAAGAAAACTGAAGCTTTCAAAATTCATAGTTTAAGTTAAAAAAAAAAAAAAAGTTTTTAGCCCTTAAACCCTAAGAGTCTCCATCATCCAATTTATCCTCACAGTAATACTGCTGAACCTTTCATGTCATGGGAGCAAAGGGAAGTGATCGCCAACCTAAGAAGCTTTGATTGTTAAACGAATTCTCCTTGTCAGTTCCAAAGGAAATGCATAGAGAAGAGGATAGAGAATATTGACATTGGTGTTAGGGTGTAAAGGATTAATTAGCCACTAAAGGAATCAATCGTAGAATGAAAAAGGAAGTTAAGGACATATTTGGGAGCCACAGCGGTTGTGTATTGGTTGTGGAAATTTTTAATCCAGAGTCATTGTTAAACATCCGCAAGCGAACAAGCTTGTGAAGCAGAAACTGAACAGTTTATAGTTAAAGTTGGCCGCTCACGTGATTACGTTATTAATTTTGTTGATACTAAATTTACCTTGGAATGTTAATAAATGTAGGATTTTGCTTGTTGACGTAAGTGTCCATGACTGTACTTTCTGGAAGGAGAATTTTCCGCAGCACATTTCTACCGCATTCACCTTAGGCCGGTCATTGACCAAAAACAACCACGTACCTTGTTTACTCTCAAAGTCTTAAACCAGTGTCAGCAATTTAGAGAAAATTTTATTGGGGTACTGGATAGGCTTCCTGGAATAACCTTAAGAGCTAGCAAAGTTGGGCTGCCCAGTGCGTAGAAGCTCTATCACATGTTCAGGTCGAATAGACTGAACAGTTACATGTAGAACAAGATTTACAAATTTAAACTTACTTCAGTCCCCTACAATGATGTAATTGATAATTGCGAACCGAATGAGGCTCTTTTATGGAAAACTCGTTTTATCCAAGAAGTTCGATCAACGTTTTAACGATTTTAACAACTATTATGGAGACAATTTTATTTTTTCCTGAGTGGGATTTCATAGTGACGGCATTGTGATGTACTGAATATTTCAGAATTTTGCACTTTCTTGTGGAATTTGATTTTCCTTTTTTTTTTGCAAGACACCAGAAGAACGTAAGTGAAGTGACTGAGGCTGGTATATTCCAACTGACTAGGTCCTCAATACTCTCTTCTCAATGGCAGTCTAAGGTGATAACACGGGAGCAGGGTACAATCACTTGGGTTATATTTACCCCACCCCACTAGCTTACCTGCTCTTAGTTCAGTTTTGGCAAACTTAAACCTTTCGCACTTGAGATCTGAATATCAATTCTCTACACTGTCTACAATATATTCCTTGCTATTTCAGCCAATTTCCAATTTACGTTTATCACTACTTGCTATCTTTCTTTCCTCCCATCACCTTTCTCCTTGAAAAAAGATCAATGTTGTAACTTCTGTTGTGGGAGACGTGGCGACTTCGTAATTATTGGGCTGAACTCCAGTTTAATGTTGTGCGCGAACGAATTTGGTCGGTGACTATTTTGTAATTAATTGTTGGTCATTAGTTTGTGGTGAACTTCTGACCAAAATTTGTCACGTTTGAATGAAATGAGTAAAGGTTGCCAAAAGATAGTACCAGTCTCTGAATCATTTTGAAGTAATTTAAAGTTTTTAAGAGTGATGGATTCAACTGTTTGGTTGTGGGGTGAAATGCGAGAGTGAATGGAATGCGGTCTGTATATTCCTTCTGTGCCGTTTGTAGTGCTGACTGTCAACTAATTTGTTGGACGCGGTGGTGGCTCGCTTGAACGACAGAAACAGGATAGCCACGTTTTCGAAAAATTGTTGATACTCCCCCACCGACGCAGCACCACAGTGTCTTTAGAAACTTACCGCCGTGATTTTTGCGAAGCTGCTTTGTGATGTGCGCGCTAATCACGCTCAGGCCAACCTGCGTGACGCGTGCAGTTACGTGCAGCAAGAATACGCTATGCAATTGCCGGAGAATGCCCATAAAAATTCGCTGTTATCATCTAGGCTATTCCTGGTAATGTAAAATTACCCCACACAACGCAGTCAACGATCTAAGATGGGAGAGCACTCGATTTTAAATCGATAGACGCTCTTAGGCATTAATTGTTTTTTGACAAATTACTTGTTCATATTTTGATGGACAAGATAGTGTACGTGTTATGCCCAAAACACTGCACAGTCAGCTTAAACTGCTTTACAATCAAACTCACCATCAGCATACAACCGATATATATCATTGTTAGTCCTGAAACCTAGTCTAATTCTTCCCGTTTACAATTCCGGTAGGACGCTAATGGTCTAGCATAGATATTTGGCGCACACTAAAAACAGAAGAAAATAAGGTTGCAACCTATTCAAATCCATTTTCAATCAGTTGCATCGCTGAATGAAAAAATGTATATTTATTGTTGTGTGTATGAGAGTGGTCACATAATAGACAAATATACATATATACTCTGACCATAGAAAATCATAGAGAGGCACTTAGCTATCGTATCGTATTTGATAACATCATCCCGCTCTAAATCTGCCAGATGCAGACGAAAGAACGCCTGCTACATTATCACCGGTCTAACCACAGTTTTGTTCATGTAGGTGCTGAATAATTTAAGGGAGTTCGGCCGTCAAGTAATTGTGAACAGATGGGACGCTTTTTATTTCCCTTGCACCACTTGTAAAAATTAGTAAAACGCTGCAATTTGTTATTTTTAGTTTCTCAACCGGGTGTCAAAAATAAAAATCAGATCAGCCAATCCGTGCTTCAATTGACCTCAAGCGCGGGAAAACTGATACTGGTAATATGGTCGCAATTCATTTTTTGAGTAAGGACATATGGGAAGTCTTTAAGATTAGTCACTTGGAATAATGAAATTGAAAAATTTCCAATGAGTTCAATTGAAAATTTCCCAATGCGTTAAGCAACCATTGCTAGGACGACTGGCTGCACATGAGCGTTTCTTTCATCTTCATCCCCTCTCACGCTTTTCGTGAACCACGCGTGCTGCTCTTCGCGGCGGAGTAAAAGACGTTCGGCGTTAACCGGCTGTAAATGAAAGTGTCTCCTTTCACCTCTATTCTCAACGATTCTTCTCGCGACCCAGCGCCTGCTGCTTCGCTGACTAACGGACGCTCGGTGCTAATTCGGTGCTCATTCGAACAGCGTACGAAACCGTGGACCCCTCAATAAAAATTAAAAAATTCCTACCAATATTTTTTCACATCGTTCAATGCCTGTAACACCGTCAAGTCTTGAGAATATTTTAAAAGTTAGAACCCAGCCAGCAACTACAGAGGTAATTATTGTTTGTAGCTTGAGATATGTCTTTCGCTTCCGTTCTCAGGACACGTGACGGTTAACTGTTAATTTCGAGTGGCGTCTACTTTCGAATATTCCAATGGTTTTGTTACTTTCCTAACATTACGGTAGTCGTGGTGCACTCAAGGGTGGAATTGTGGGTTAAAAGTTCTCCTTTTCTTAGCCCTCTTAGATGTCGGCCAAGCTTTTTTTTCGATTTTATGCCACAGACATTTTTGGCACTTCATTGTAGAACAGGTTTTTTTTTTAGTTTCCTTTGGAAACACAATGGCCACGTTTTGCATTCAATTAGATGCGGCCACTTTAGCAGATAATTGGAACATCCAGTGTTTTAAAGATAGATGAATGTCTAGACACTGAGTTGTGAATTCCGTAAATTTTTAATCGTGTCCGTATATTCTCGCTCAGGAGAAATTCTGCAAGAAAAAAAATAAGTGATCTGATGTTTTATCGACTAAGCAAATGATAACTTAAATTGAAGGAATTCAGATTGGGTTTTTCTTAAAGTGAAAATAAACAAAAGACAAAAACTGAAAATTATGTATTCAATTGCAAATAAAGTTCGCAGCTGTCTAATTCAATTGGAGGTATGATAGATATGTGACATCCACATGACACGATTAAGACTATGAAATAGATTAAAATGTCACCGGAATGTCACGCGTCAGTCGCGTAGCGATTTCGAAACAGATAGCAGCGCTAAAGGAAAGAGTTGTTATTAGAGCTGGTCTCAACGAAAAAATCGCTGCCACAATTCTGAGCCATTATAGAAACGTGTGCTGTCTATCAAATGCCGTCATGTCATCGCCTTAGCGGGAGAGTCGTAAAAGGCGGAGTTACAGCGGTCATTCAGCGGTCGATGATGTCATAACAGCAGACGAACAAACGAGTCATTTTACAGTGGCTTTCAGTTGGTTGCGACAAGTCGCGGAAAACGCTGCACTCTACTTCGGCTTAGCGCCATGGACGAGACAGATCTACAAGGCAACGTCAATTCGCTCGAAAAAAATCAAAAGAGAAAACGCATTCTGGATGATAAAGGTAACACTATCGAATCTCCCTTGTTAATTTTGCTGTATTTGTATTAATCAAAGTCAGGTCGGGTTGCACGCGGTCAAAACTCGCGCTGTTTGTGTTTTCGTCGCTAGCTTGAGTCGCAGCCGACCCGATCGATGAGCGAAATTTATTGAAATTTTCAGTCAAATAGCGGTCATATGCTCCGAATGCGTCTCATTTCACTTGAGTTTGCAGTCAGAGCCGTTAGCGAGTTTATTGGCGGCAGTGACCGGTTGCTTATCATGTCATGAACAAAGACAAAATATACGGAACGTTTAAAGCTAAAATCATGTGACGATAATGACGGTGTTTTGTACCTCATGTGATTGCATTGACTAGAAATTAATTGCGATCTTTATTGTACTTTTCCACGCTCTCACGATCTCAAAACGTTAGAAAGCGCAAAATTTGAGTGATGTATTCTCTCTAAAAATGTTTTGCGGTGTCCTTTCTGCATCAAAAATTGCAATTTTGTCCCGTTGTGGTACCTAGTTGTAACCAGCAGACATTAAGGACCAATTGCTTTTTTCGGTGCGGTAAGTAGCTTTGAAATGCAGACTATTCTTTAGTATTATTCTTAACTCGAAAACGCAAAACTACGACCCA